CTCCTTCAGGACATTCAACAAAGCCTAGCCGTGTTGGCAGGCCGTGCTCAGGCAGCACCATCACCAGCAGGGCCTGGTGCCTGGCCCGTGCCATATCCTCCTCTTTCTGTTCCACCGGTGACTGGGGTATCCCCATATGTAGCCCCTTCATCGGTTGCTATCGTTTCYCTGGGCATGCCTCTGTCAGGAGGGGTAACAGCAGAGAGTAGTTTGCTGCTTCCTGTTCAGACAGTGTTTACTCCAAGTCCGTCATAGGTTGCAGTCACCACGCAGCCTGCTGTCTCACAGTCAGTGCAACCTCAGGGCACACAACCCCAGCAGCTAGCACAACAACCTGTATCGCCGGGTCCACAGCCCGGGTTGGTGCAGGGACCGGGACAAAGTCAGTGGGTTCCAAAGACRGCCATCGCCGCTCCCAAACCTTTTACAGGGGACAAGAGAGGCGAAGACCTCGACACTTGGTTGAGGGCAGTGCCGGTCTACGTCAGGTGTAAACTCACCTAGCCACACGAAGAAGTGCTTGTGGCTGCTTCCTACCTGGAGGGTAGTGCAGCGAGATGGTTGAGTGGGTTAGTGCAGCTCCAGGGGTACGGTCATGTCTTCCGCTCTTGGGCAGTCGCTCAAAAATTGGAGGACTTCCTGAAAATGGTGGAAGACAGGTGGCATGATCTGCAGGAGGCTCAAAAGGCCACTGATGCGATCCTGACACTGCACAAGCGGCAGTTTAAGTCAGTAAGGGATGCCACCGACGCTGTAGAGCGTTTGATTTATGTTCCAGGGGTACGCTACGACCCTCAGGTCCTGCTAACTTCGTACTTGAGGACCTTATCTCTGCCGCTCAGGAACCAGTTGGCAAAAGAGGCCAACATTAATATGCACAACTTTCCTTCGTTCAGCAAGGTGGCCCTAGACCTAGAAGCAAAGATAGGGCATGGACAGGCACCCACTACGGAAGGGAGAAAGAAGACACTGCCTCCCAACTGGAAGGCGAGAGGTCAAATCATGTTTGTCGACAACGATGGATCAACCATCGAGTTGGACGACAACTTCCAGGAGGGAGTAGGTGCAGAGGCGGGTGGCGAAACTTCAGAGGGTGGAGTAGTCGCCGCTGTACAGCAAAAAGGTAAAGGGAACGGTAGACGCCCTAGGGGATCCGGGTCGAAGAGTCAAACAGACGTCAATGCTCCTCCATGGGAGAAAGCGGGTCTAGCTGAGGACGTGTGGAGAGATTGGTGGGCACGGCAAGCTTGTATCAAGTGTGGCCAATATGGTCATAGCATGTACAAGTGCCGCAATAGGAAGGTCACCGAGAAGATCCCGCCCACTCTGGGGTCGGCAGTAGGATCCTCTCAAACCTTTGGTAGCAACGTTGCTAGTTCTTCAGGCAGTGCTCCGGGAAACACGTCCGGCCAGTAGGGATAGTAGTTGTTCCTACTAGGGTCGCCATGGTGGATTCACCCTCACCTTCGCGAGAGATGGCCCAAGCTACAGACTCTTCAGTCGTCCCGCAAACACATTCAGACCCATCGACCCTCTGTTTGATGAATGTGTTTGAATCCTTAGAGGAGCTAGAGCATGAGTGGTCCAGATCAGATCCACTAGCTTCTTGGACGGCGTTAGTTAAAGCCCCTAAGAGTGAAATGTTTGTCAGCGAGGTAGTCATAGGAGGCCGCAAGGCCAGGGCCTATTACGACACTTGCTCGACTAGAAACTTTAGGAGTCGCGCGTGCGTTGAGAGGCTGAGCTTACAGGGGCAAGTGCAGCGCCTAAGTCGACCTGTGGAGTCGACCTGTGCCAACAAACAACGTATGGTAGTTAATGACTACCTCCCTGATGTAGAGTTTGTTTTCCCGTACGCGGGAGGGGACTTGAGACATCGTGTCTCGTTCCTGGTCAGTGACGAGCTCCCAATGAACATGTTACTAGGTACGTACTACCTCTCTGTAGCACAGCCCCAGTTTGACTGGGACCAAAAAGTGGTCAAACACACGTTGCCAGGTGGAGGGACCGCCATATTACAAAAGTTCAAAGCTAGTAGTCTGATTGAGTCCTATGGGTGCATGTGTGCGGCCGCATTCTATAATTATTATAAGCAAAATCAGGAGGAGGGTATGTACTTAGTCTATGTCTCTGCTGCAGGCGAGCCGGTGAAAATGCCGCCAGAGATAGAGGGAGTAGTTGCTAAGTACCCTGATCTATTTGAAGAGCCGACAGGGGTTGTTGGGAGGGAGGTCGTCCACGCGATAGAGATTATCCCAGGGTCTAGTATTCGTAGGGGTAGGATCTATCGGATGTCTCCAGGCGAGCTTGATGAGCTTCGCCGCCAACTCAAGGAACTCGTAGAGAAGGGTTGGATCCGGCCGAGTGTCTCTTCTTATGGGTCTCCAGTGATATTCGTGCCTAAGAAGAAGGAGGGAACTTTAAGGATGTGCATTGACTATAGGGGCCTCAATGCCATCACGGTGAAGAACAGAGAGCCCCTACCGAGCATCGATGATATGTTAGATAGAGTGCAAGGGTGTCGGTACTTCAGTAAAATACATCTGAAGTCCGGGTACCATCAGATTGCAAACCGGGCCGAGGACCAACACAAAACCGCATTTCAGACCAGGTACGGTCTATACGAGGTTGTGGTGATGCCTTTTGGTCTTTGCAATGCTTCTGGCACCTTTCAGCACGCTATGAATCGGATTTTTCATGACTACTTGGATAAGTTTGTCCTCGTGTACCTCGATGACATACTTATTTTTAGTAAGACTGTCGAGGAACACGTAGCACACTTAGACAAAGTTTTCAGTCTCCTGCGACAGCACAAGTTCAAGATCAACGGTGAAAAGTGCGAGTTTGGCCGCACCCGTATCTTGTACTTAGGTCATGAGATCTCCGCGGAAGGGWTGAAGCCCGATGACGCGAAGGTGGCCAGCATTCGTGATTGGCCACGTCCTCAGTCTGTGACTGAGATGAGATCTTTCTTAGGAATGACAGGCTACTATAGGACTTTCGTTAAGAACTATAGCATTGTGGCCGCTCCTTTGACTGATCTGACCCGCCTTGACACCCCTTGGGAATGGACAGATGAGTGTGAGGCTGCTTTCAGACATCTGAAGCATGCATTGACGCACTATGAAGTCTTGAAGCTACCCGATCCTGATAAGCCATTTATAGTAACCACGGATGCTAGCCAATATGGCATTGGCGCCGTGCTTGSGCAGCAGGAGGGGCCAAAGTTGAGGCCAGTAGAGTACATRTCCAAGAAAATGCCGTCTCAGAAGTTGGCTAAGTCCACTTATGAGAAGCAACTCTATGCGGTATACAAGGCTCTCACCCATTGGAGACACTACCTCCTTGGGCGGTTCTTCATCCTCCGGACTGATCATCAGACCCTGAGATGGATGAGAACACAGCCGGTACTCTCTGACGCTCTMRWGCGTTGGATCGAAGTCATTGAGCAATATGACTTTGACCCTCAGTATCTYAAAGGGGAGTACAACAAGGTTGTTGATGCCTTRTCGCGCAGACCGGACTTCTCCGGTGCGCTGATTACTRAGTTCGATCTGAKSGACGATGTTACTCACTCTTTGGCGGAAGCCTATCGTCAGGACCAGTTTATGTCTGAGATCATACGCAGACTTGAGGCGAAGGATAAAAAGACCTCCGCCGAGTTTGAGTTGGTCAATGGATTGCTATTCCTAGAGAAGGCAGGGAATAAACGCTTGTGCGTTCCAAATAGCGAGTCTTTGCGTAGCTGACTCTACAAAGCAGACCTAAAACGGCCCGATACCAGGCTATCCTGACTGATGGACTAAAGAAACTCCCCTGGAATGACTGGCACTCTCCCCAACCCCTCCTCCCTTTGGGTCTACTGCGACCTTCGATTAACCGAGTGCATCTGGTTATGGAGGAGGAAGAGGGGAAGAGGGGGAGGGGACGAGGAGGGAAGGAGATTGTGGGAGCTTAAGACGAAAGCCAAGGGGTGATGGCCAATTGGCCGTTAAGTGTGACAGTTGCAAGCCTGTTGTCTCTTGCCCATGTCACCAGGAACCATCGTCTGCTTCTCGGTTTGCGTCCTCTGTGTGCCTTCTTTATCCAATCTACACGGATCATGGTTCTGATCCAGGCCTTGATTTTGCTGATGATGGCGCTGTCGTTGGTCCATTGGTGTCGGAAGAGGACGTTATTTCGATCTTCCCAGACGGTCTAGATGATGATGGTGCGGATCACTTGGGCAACGTAGCCTCTTCCAGTTCGCTGAAACCAGGTAGCCTCCAGACTTTTCGGAGAGGGTCCCTCGTTTTCTCTTTTTTTTTCTTCTTCTTTTTTTCCTTTTTTTCATCAAGTCTCTGGTGGTAAATGCAAACTTGATTTTAGCGATATCTCTGACGGCCTTGGTTTGCGCTATCAATTTTTTGCAGACAGTATATCCTTCTCCGACAGGTGCTGCAGGGCCAAGCAATGATGATGTGCCGATGATTATGTCTTAATGCATGATTGTGGAACGCTGTGCCTGATTTTGAGCATGTATGCTCCCACAAATAGACTGTGTCAGAGCCCTCCTAAGAATGCGGAGATCGTGTCAGAGCCCTCCGACAAAGGTGGAAACTCTGTCAGATGTCATCATTACCATTCTTTTCAGTATCTTTTCTTTGCAAACAGCGTCGTGCAGAGCATCAAATTCATCTCTTGAATATCAGGCATCAGATGATGGAGGATCTGACCAAGGGACAACAGGAACACGTGTTTACTTTGATTAAACACATCTGTAATACCGTCCCATATCTGTCGCACTAAAACAAAACACATGTGACATAAGTGGAGGGAGCCGTCTACAATTGGAGGTGTGTCTTTTTTTTTTCTTCTTTTCGAGTCCAGGTTGTTGTAGGGGCTGGCTACTACCGTCTTCACCCGGATAGAACGCCCGGTCATTATAGCTGTATGTGATGCAACTTTCAGTCAAGATACGGCCATAATTACCTGGCGTTCTATTCGGGTGAAGACGGTAGGCATATGACAGCCTGCCAGCACCTGACCATTTGATCATCCCGATGTATTGCCTAACCGGTCCCCTATGAGACACCCTCCCACCCTTACTCATCATCACGATACGCGGCGCATCCCTACTCCCAAGGTCCTACCTGAGTATACCCAGGATCATCACCCGTTCCAGTAATCTTTTAACCGTACACCGGTTATAGGTATCAGTGCTAAGCAGGTTCTCACCTCCCTCCCCAACCCTGATTGAAGCACTGTCGAATGAGCCACGTCTTACCGCGCAGGCCCATAGGCTGTCTTGACAGCCATCCCCAGTTAGCCAGTGGAATGTCTTCCTCCCTCGACGAATCCGCAGATCTCTCTACCAGGCCTCACCCTCCTGCTGTAAAACAGGTTACAGGGCTACGCCCCAGCAATGGCCAGTGTCGTTCTGGGATCGGTCGACCAGGAGCTTTAGAACATCACAGCTACACATGGCTTTGGAGAGGAGACTACCGTCTTTGGAATCCTGAAACAGATATCAGGAGAGGCTCAAAGAAGCAATTAGTGCGAGCAGAATCCTCTACTCAGTTTCTGAGAAGCCTGGAGACGTTGGAGACCCGGTGGATGAACATCGGATACGTCTCCTTCGGACATGGAGAAAACTCCCAATCCCCGATCGCCCGCTCCTGGAGAGGTGGGAGGAAGTTTTTAGGCAACCCCTATTTGGTAATAGACTAAGTACGGACTCCCTCGGCCGGGTGGGATGCAGCTCAAATCCCGCATGGAGGGGTTGGGTGAAGCATGGGGTCTGGAGAGTGGGAGACCTCTGGGATGTGGCAGCCAGAGAATGGAAGAGTGCAGAAAGAATGCGAGGTTGCCTGCGATATTGCCACCTAACAGAGTCAGCAATGGAAGAACTTATTGAAAGTTTTCCCCTTCAACAGTACACAATTGAAAGCTTTCCCCTTCAATGGTACACAACCCTTAGAAAGGGCCCTTGCCTAGAAGAAGGGGACTGGGTGGGATTACCTGTCAGGGAGCGCAAGTCAGTCGACTGCATATGGTAGACCAAGAGCACGTGTTGATCGAATGTTTCGTCATCACGAGAAAGGACCACCTAAAAGGGAGCTGTAAGCCTTTTAACGGGAAAAAGAGGAGGGAAGTCTATCAGATCAGAGCGATAGAGGAGGAGAGGGGATGGAGTGTTTTTCGACCAATGACCCCAATTGAGGATCTCCCCTTTGACCCTGATGAGTGGTGATGGTCGTGGAAAGACCAGAAATTTTTGAAAAAGGCGGGGAAGGCAAAACAGGTGGCGCTAGCCACCCTAAAAACTAAGACAGCATACCGAATGCTTAGACCAAGGCGCAGACTGAGAGATGTGGTAGAGGATAGATGGCACCGCCATCTCAATGTAGACAGGGGTCTGCTTAAGCCCGTCTAGTGGTTCAGAGAGTATGGAGAGAGGCCAGCCAAAATCCCATCCCTGCAATGGCAAATTGCCCACCGGTGCCTGCCGATTAACAACTGGCTAATCGACCACACACAGTTGGAACAGCAGGGAAAAACACTTCCTTGGTGCCGAAGGTGCCTCCAGAACTTCCCTGGCAAAAACCGTTGTGAAACACTGGAACACATCTTCCTACAGTGCCACGCAACCGTTTTGTTGTGGCGATGGTGGGACAAAATTTGGCGACATATTGTACCGGGTGCATCATGGCCATGAGACTGGAGGGCCACACTACTAGGACATTGTCCCCAGTTTCGAGGAAACACCTTTGAGGAAAACATGTATTGCCTAGGTAGGAGGTCCGTCATGTGGGTAATATGGTGGAAAAGGTGTATTATGGAATTGGAGGGGGCCCGGGTGGAAGATGGGGAAGTTACAGAACAACTACGGCTTCTGATTCAGTATGAGATCACGGCCCAATGACGGGATGTTAAGGAAAAATTGAATCGCGCAAACACTAGGATGAATATTGACAAAATCATCTCCCGCTTCTGTGAAGACTGGCTGGGAGGGAAACGGGAAGGCTGGATAGCAATAGTGAGCTGGACAAGAGACCAGCATGACCAGCAACGGGCTTCACGACAAGATGATCCGCCGGCTCACCTAGATTTGGAAAGGAATTAATCACTGGATTTCCATGAATGGACAAGGGTGAATCCGAGGGAACCGTTACGGCCGGTCCATGAATTGAATGACCCCTTTCCCCCCCCATCCACTATCCCTGGAAGAATGCCTGTGGGACGGTTGAAGTGTCATCGAAGTTTTTTTCTCATCCGCACCTCAGCATTTTTTTCGAACGAGTCTAAGTTTTTTCCCAAACACGAGTTCAGACAGTGCAGTCATCGGCAACAGCTGACGGCCAGAAGGCAGGAAGATAGTCATGGGAACCGGTGCCCCCCGACTACTAGAATGACCTAGTCATATGCCCAAAGAAGAGAGAAGTAGTTGTGCCCTCTGTTTTGTGTATACTCGATGGCAAGGTTAGGCATGTCCCATAAGTTCGGGTAACCTGACTTTATGCCTTATGTAAGATGGGTATAAAGGGACAACTCATGAAAAATTATGAAGTATTGTTTGACAAGGTTTAACCCTAGGGTTGGTGAGAGTACTTACCATTGTGGTTTGGCCTGCATGTGGCCGAGTGAGGCCGCTACTTAGTCTGAGTTTCAGTTTGACAGGTAGTTGCGTTAGTTGTTTGCCACGTGCTAGAGCAATAAGAGTTAATTCAATTTCTGCATTTTCGGAGCTAACTTTATTTTTACTTAGGTCAATTTCCGCATTCTCAGAGATCATTTGTTATACTTGGCTTTGTATAAATTTTGGTACGCTACTTCCTCTATGGGAAGCGCTGCCGAAATTTCTGCAAATCCAAGAAGTTGGTCAAATTTTGACTTTTCAAAGTTCAACTTGTCTAAATTATACATATGGCTTAGTAGAAATCTGGAAAGTCTCATTTTCTAAAGGGAGTGCTGCCCAAATTTTTGCTAATTCAGGGACTTAGACAAAATTTAGACTTTAAAAAGTTGAAGACTATTACTGTTTTCATATTTGGGCTAATATAAATTCTGGAAAGGCACTTTCCCTACGGGAAGCGTTGCCGAAATTTTCTTAGTTTAAAGGAGATAGAGTCTTTTGTCGGTGCTGGCACGGCACATTGGTGACACGATATGGCACGGAGTTCTGGTTCGGGACAGGTATGGTTCGGGTATTTGACGGTACTTGTATGGTGGATCCGCCGCGCGGTACGGTATTTTATTGGTTTAAAATAGCTGCTAGAATGGAACCGGCGCTCCATTCTACGGTATTCGGCATTAAGCTGGTTCAGGCTGCGGCTATTGAGAACGGTTACTTCAGGTCAGGTATTTGGTTTGGCATTGGCATCACGCGGTTGCTGGTCTGTGACACCCATGGTTCACGGGTTCGGGACAGGTTCGGCGTCGTCGTGGTTCAGGCCACTACAATCCGAGATGGTTATTTCGGATTCGGTGATGATGCGGTACGGGTTGCCGCAGCTCCAATAATTGTTTCAGGATCCCACACTAGTATGATATCCGTACGGGTTGCTGCAGTTCTAAACAACAATGTCACGGTCCCTTGTGTAAACTCCGCTTTTTTTCGTATTGCCACGGTGCAGCACTCTACAGGCCGCTGATACGGGTCATTTAAAGAGCCCACTTTTCGTTAATTCGACTTGTGGGACTGATCTAAGTACGTGGCCCCTCACTGGCCTTGCGGCTGCATATCCTGGTGGTACCATTGGACCTACATGGGCTGCGCTGGTACCGCGACTATTCCGGGCCTGGGAACCTGGATTTCAAGGTACCTTCGGTCCGCTGGGGCCCACGATCAGGGCAGCAGCCTGCATATAGCTAGACCAGCGGACGAAGAGGGGACAGGAAGATTCGAGAACGGAGGCGACCGGAGGGATCACAGCGCACGGGCAGTGAACGACGACGAGCGCAGCGAACGGGTCTGATGGACCCCGTGCTCAATCAAGGGATGTTGTTGATGGCTTGGCAGCTATGGGGGAGCAGATGACGACAACAGGACAGAGGAGATGTCTACCCCCTACATGTCACGTCAACAGAGAAGCGATCATGGCAAGAGTTGGTTGCCCACGTCGATTCGTGGGAGTTGGTGCCGTGGTACAATCTGCGTTGAGGAATGAGACAGCGCGTGCCCGTACTCGAGAGTCAGCGAGCATGAGAGAGACTGAGTGTGAAAAAGAGAGAATGAGTGCGTGTGTGAGAGAGTCGATTCCACACGGAGGCGCAGTGTAGCACACACTCAGACTGACAACATAGTGGACGTTTGCAGTGGAAACGGTGTTGATTGCAACTGCGTGCTGATTCAGCACGGTCTCTACACTGTGTGGAAAGAATCATGACCGCAACTGTATTCACATTCTGCCTCCGTGGCCCTGCTTCAATGCGAACACAATCTGTCATTGACCCCGTCCAGCCGCTTATTTATACCGGTATGAGGCACATTGCGTATTTAGCAATTAATTTATTGATAACTATTACATCCATTACTTAAATGATTAAATAAATGTTATGCATGGCAATCGCCAATTGCAGTGTAGCCAGAATTTCTGGACTGCGTTGAGTACTCAGTAATAACGGGAAACTGAGAGAGATGGGGAATGGATGAGGGAGAGTGTGTGTCAGAGAAAACATTATAATTCCAGCTGCGCGTACCTAGGCTGAGTGGGAGACTGGGTACATACGAGTTTGAGCCAAATCAGGCTTGAGTCCGAGAGCAAGAGAGAGAGCAGACTGAGAGAGAGAGAGAGACAGAGAGAGAGAGAGAGAGCGGACTTAGTGAGGGAGAGAGAGAGCAGACTGAGAGAGAGAGAGAGAGAGAGAGAGAGAGAGAGAGAGAGAGAGAGCGGACTGAGTGAGGG